ATTACAAAATCTACTTCTTCACAAGCCTGGAAGTAACATTTAGTTTCCATGCAAGAGTGAGTATAGTCAAGGCAGCTGTTCGCTGATAAGGACTCTAGGGCCTCAGGTGAGAGTTAAGAGACCCTTTTTACAACAAAAAGACCTGCACAGCAGGTTGTAATCCTGGTGTACTGCACATTATTCATACTTTCCCTCTCTTTTAATGCCTGTTTTTATAGCTGGACACTACACTAATCTGTTCAAGCTCTTGACTCCAGTCGATATCAAGGGAGGTTTCATAACTTCCCATTCTCTTCCCTCATAGTCCAGACCAGCTGCGCACGATGACAAAATCAAACTTACTCCTACCTACAGCTACACCTACAGCTGGTTAAATGCTTCCATATATGGCAGTGTGAAAACAATCAGTCAATCTGGGGAAAACTCAAATAAAAATACAAGGTCGTTGATATATTGATGAACGTTTGGATAAAGGTTGCCTGCCAGGCTGCTCCAACCCCAAATCTTACCAGCTTGTATATTTCAAATCTATTAAAAGACATTTTACATAGAAAGTATCCTGTTAATCAACAACACATACTCATTTTTTAATGTGCCATAGGAGCTAATGTTTATAATCAGGTAATAGGTATCCTTACATTCTTTCTCAATCTCTCCATCTACTGCATACCACCAGAACAAAGGAAAAGAAAGATATAAGGAAAAGTGAGTTGAAAATGTTATCCAATGCAAAAGACGAACAGTCAGGATGAGGTCATAAGGTTAAAGGGTTGGCATAAAAAACACAAACAGACAACCCAGTAAAAAAATGCTGTAAACATCACAAAGACATATTGATCTCAGCAAGTTAGTTGACAATCAGGATCAACTTTGTTATTAGAATTCTGCAATGTTCTTGCAAGTTCTCTTCTCGTTATGTTAAGGTTTATGTGCAGGCTCTTTACGAAATACATTTTCTAAAAGACAAACAGATCGGGTATCCATCCAATCAAAAGTGAGAAGTGAGGAATGCAGGGCGTAAATTATGTATCACCTCTCCATGTGAGCAAAGCACGCAGGGATCGCACCCTGGAGGGCCGCTGATGAATAAACCATTTGCCTTGAGGGTCACTGAGGAAACGCTGTCACAGGCCATTACAGGGCTCAGCAGCAAGGACAAACTAGGGTCTGTGATTCCACTGCTCTCATTCGCCTTTCTTTAATTACGTGTATCCCTACACCTCTCTATCCGGGTCAAGAAGTCACCCTTGTTGCACAGCTGTTTTGTGCCTCTCTTTTTCGCTTCTACCCACATTCTGCCATTCCCTAAGTCTGCTATAGCATTGGCAGGATTGGAATCCCACGGCAATTAAGTTGTTTACCAACGACAGTTAATTGGTTGAGCCGGGTGGGGCCGGTGCTGGGCCAGCTAAAGGCCAACAGTCAGGCCCAAATCCAGAATAGATCCCTTTCATGTCTCTACACCTCAAATTTTCTACAATTTTTCCTTAACTCAGTTGAACAAACAGCTTTAACTTCACACGCAAATATACACTCACCTAAAGGATTTTTAGGAACACCAGTTCAATTTCACATTAATGCAATTATCTAATCAACCAATCACAGGGCAGTTGCTTCAATACAATCTCCTGGACTCTCCAAACTGAATGTCAGAATAGGAAAGAAAAGTGATTTAAGCAATTTTGAGCGGTTGCTCAGTTGCTTAGGGATTTTCACGCACAACCATTTCAAGGGTTTACAAAAAATGGTGTGAAAAGGGAAAAACATCCAGTATGCGGCAGTCCTGTGGGCGAAAAGGCCTTGTTGATGCTAAAGGTCAGAGAATGGGCCGACTGATTCAAGCTGATAAAAGAGCAACTTTGACTGAAATAACCACTCGTTACAACCGAGGTATGCAGCAAAGCATTTGTGAAGCCACAACACACACAACCTTGAGGCGGATGGGCTACAACAGCAGAAGACCCCACCGGGTACCACTCATCTCCACTACAAATAGGAAAAAGAGGCTACAATTTGCTAGAGCTCACCAAAATTGGAAAAATGTTGCCTGGTCTGATGAGTCTCGATTTCTGTTGAGACATTCAGATTGTAGAGTCAGAATTTGGCGTAAACAGAATGAGAACATGGATCATCATGCCTTGTTACCACTGTGCAGGCTGGTGGTGGTGGTGTAATGGTGTGGGGGATGTCTTCTTGGCACACTTTAGGCCCCTTAGTGCCAAATGGGCATCGTTTAAATGCCACGGCCTACCTGAGCATTGTTTCTGACCATGTCCATCCCTTTATGGCCACCATGTACTCATCCTCTGATGGCTACTTCCAGCAGGATAATGCACCATGTCACAAAGCTCGAATCATCTCAAATTGGTTTCTTGAACATGACAATGAGTTGACTGTACTAAAATGGCCCCCACAGTCACCAGATCTCAACCCAATAGAGCATCTTTGGGATGTGGTGGAACGGGAGCTTCGTGCCCTGGATGTGCATCCCACAAATCTCCATCAACTGCAAGATGCTATCCTATCAATATGGGCCAACATTTCAAAAGAATGCTTTCAGCACCTTGTTGAATCAATGCGAGGTAGAATTAAGGCAGTTCTGAAGGCGAAAGGGGGTCAAACACATTATTAGTATGGTGTTCTCAATAATCCTTTAGGTGAGTATAGTTGCAGTCTGGGTATAGTAAGAAGTACACTACAAATTCAAACCTCTTATTCAAAACTAATTTGAAAATGTTTGTCTATTTTTGTACTCATTTTAAGAAGGGAGTAATATAAAAAAAAGGCTTTTAAGAATCCAATTTCTAGGGGAGTGACCCAACTAAAGTCTCAGTTCTCAGTTCTATCAGGCACTCTGACTCCAAATGGGAAGGTGATTAAAATGATATACTAGCTCGTAAAATTTTTTCGAGAGGTTTCAAAAATGTTAAAGTGTCCAGCAACCATGCAGTAAGAATAAAAGTACCTTCCCAAAGGCTCCTAAAAAGGGACAGGAAAAACTGCTTCATAAGATACTGGTATGAGCTTTTATCTCTGCTGTGGGGTTTGGGTGGTTTTGCAGGGGGTTGTTTATATTCTGTGAAAATATTTCACTTTGGTTTGATGAATGTTACCACATATAGTCTTTTCAAAGCTGGGCCTGGATCAGTTCTCTGCAAATTTGTCAAGGAATTTGTGAAACCGCGTCTGAGCAAGTCATTCACTGCCAGTCAGCTCTGTAATTCCTCCCCACCTGTGATGCGGTTGATCCGTTCGGATGGTATTCCGTTTTGAAAAAAACAAAACAAAACAAAAAAAACCCCAACAGATTCTTATAGTGGGAAGAATTACACTCCACAGTTATAAAAGTGGAACCTATGACCTGCGCGTCTGGAAGACAAGGAGTGTTAGCATAGCACACGTACTTTGCGTTAATGCCATTAAACACATTTATCAGCTAAGCAATGCTATGTTAGGCTAAGCCAGGCTATGCACGGTAATTGCATCCTCTGTAATCGAGTAGTTGGCAGCCGAAGCACTGCTCTTTAAGTCTAAGCAGACGTCTGAGGCCAATGTAATTGCTGGCAATTGCAGCACCACACAGAGGACAGTGAGGAGGGGGAAGAGAGAGAGAGAGAGAGAGAGAGAGAGAGAGAGAGTGAGGAAATGAGGAGTCCTCACCTCAGCAGCTCCTGTTGAGGCTGGAATGTTGGGCTTGGTGCAAGAGAGGCAGCCAGCACTGCTATGCAGGTCAGTGGGAAGGAGAGGGAGGGAGAAACCTGGGTAGATCCAGTGTTCCTTCTCTCAAAATTTCTTTCCACTCTGTCTTTCTCTGTGTCCCTCTCAACAAAAAGGTTTTATTGGTGTACAGCTGGAGTATAGTGCCAAGCCAAGTACAAAGTACAAATTTACTAAAATAAATAAATAAATAAATAAATAAGTAAAATATTTAAATGATGGGGATATTACGAAAATAAAGTTAATTTATTTGTATTTTTGTTGTACATTTTCAAGAGAAAAATGTGTTTTGTGCTTCACCACAAATAGTTTTTAGATTGCTTATTCATGGTTTGTCTTGCCCTGGTATTTCCAATTGTATTGAGATACTTTGCCAATTCATCTTCTCATTTTAGGCTCCAGCAGAACTTAAAATTTCTTTGGTTTAAACTGTTTTGTTTTTATTTCCCATGTTCCATGTGTCTCTATGTAGTTTCAGGGCTCCAGACTCTGTGACTAAATGGTATAGTATTAGCAACTTTTGTAATATTTTTAATTTAGACTAGTGTTGTCAAAAATATAGATATTTCGATAAATATCGATACCGAAATATCTGAACGGTACCAATACTAATTTCCCGAAGTATTGATACTAGCCGAGCAGTCCAAGAGACAAAACATGTTATATTATTACCAACTCTGCTACCCCGATGCTACCAAATCAGGTGCTGGTGCAACAACACTAGTGCCACTGCTCTCAAAAGTAGCAGTGTGATTTAATGGTCTCTTTCTAGTCTCCCTAGTCTCTTTTCATTCTATTGAAACATTTTGTATAGGCTGGCAAAATGTATTTATTTTGTAAATGGCTCTTGACTCCTACAGTACATAGGTCAGAGAAATTGATAGATTTCAAAACCCAAATTAGTCAGCATCTATGGCACGCTATTTTTAACCATATACTTTTTTGATGTCACTGGGGCCATTTGCTTCTTCAGAATTTAAAGATGTTAGTGTTTTGTGATAGTTATTAATGGGTAATGTATTGAGTTCTTTCATTGGATCTGTGTAAAATCAGTTTTCAAAGTGCCTTTTTAAGATATCATTATTTTGGATCAACAAGTCTTGGACTGACCAGAAGGACTTTCATAGTTAACAAGCTTTATAAGAAAGACAATGCTGGATGATCTTAGCTATTACAGCAGGATCACATCCTAACCAGGACTAACTAGCCTAACCGAGCATGAGAGAATTAGTTTCTGTTTCACTTTACAGCTGATAGGTAAAGGTAATCTCTCTTTTACTCACCACAATTCAATGTCACCATCTGTGCTTTTAGTTTCTGCTTTTCTTCTGGAACTTTTCTCAGGACTTCTGAGTAGTTTGTTGACAGAGTCGGTCTCCCTCTATAATAGGGTTGCACGGTATACTGACACTATAGAAAAAAAAAGAAAAAAAGGACTGTGTCAACGTCAAAGGGTTGGTATCGATCCAACCCAACTCTAAATCATCTTTGAGCTACTGGACAAAAGTGGAGGTGGTGAGAAGTTTAGGCTTGAGGAAGAAGATCAGATTACCTTTCATTTTTTGTATATAGTATATAGTGTGTAAAAAGAATTTCTCTGGATTTGCAATTACATATTCATTACGTCTGCTTGCTCTTGCTGGAAACTCAACTTCCTGGAATTATTCTAAGGCCCTGGTCGTAGCAGCAAAATGCTCTTTTCATGAGAGAATTTTAATGCATATGGCAAGATAAAACTAGGCCCAACTAACCTACTTCATAACTTACAAATCCATAACTTAAAAAGGGTTTTCTGGCATATGCTGATGGTCGCTGTTAGTTGGAATGGAATGGCAAATAATGTAAAAATATAACCATACAGCTAATGAGTCAACTAATCATGTAGCCAACCCACTGACTAGTTGATTTCAAGTCTGAAGTCTATTATTGCGCTTCAATAAGCTACAATCAAGATAGCACTTTACGGTCAAAATGTCATCCAGATCATTATCTTGTTGTCTGCTATTTTTCTTCTCCCGTCTCTGTTTTTCTTTCTTTCTGTCTTTATCTTCCTCCATATACTAGCCCAGGGGGCCGGCCATGTTTATGCCTGTACGGGGTCCTGAGCTTTTGGATGTGTGACCTCAGATTTTCACAAAGGTCTATGAGCCAATTCAATGCTTAAAATGCTTGGCTAGAGGGCAAAAACAAAATGTGACGTGTATTCCAAGGGTGTTCTTCAGTATCCGAAAGGCTGTGAAAATTGTTAGTGGGGAGTAAACAGGGGAGGAGAAAGAAAAGAGACACATGGCTTGTAGTAAATTAACCAGACAGAGGGAAAGCCGAGTGGCCTAAGATTCATAGCTTCTTAGGGATGTAAGAAATGGCAGGTTGAGGGAGATAGAGAGAAAAATGGCTATGCCATTGGGTCTAATAAAACTGTGTCTGTTATTGCATGTTTCTAAGCACTAGGTGCTTTTACAAGAGTATAAAGACTCACAAAAATTAAGGTCAAAAGTAATGGTGTAATGGTGACTAATAATGATATCGGTTACAATCTATCAACCTTTGACTTTGACCTGAAAAATTAATATTATTTGTATATAATAAAGAGATGGACAAGTTCGATTATTGTAGCAATGCTACTAGTTTTGAAAACAGCTGAGCTTCTGTCATGCTAATGAAAAATGTTTAGTTGGCTTCTCCCCTACACTGGCACACAGACACCATACAGACGCTCAATCAGAGAGACCAGACTTTAATAGGCATGCCAGTGGGCAGCTGGCACGGAGCAGGGTGGCTATTTTTAGACTGAATGGAGATTAATTTACTTTAAAAAAATAACTTTCTTTCTTTTTCTCATTCACTCTGTCTGTTTCTGCCTTTGCGATCAGGGCCTCTGTGGTGGTTCTCACGTTTCCCTTTTTCTTTCTGCCTCTGTCTCTTATCCACTTTCTTTCCATATTTTCCACACATTCCTGTTTTCCTCCCTCTCTCTCCTTACTCAGCCACATTAAATCTGATGTAATGCTTACCCCCAGATACCCTAATACTCTGCTCGGAGCGAACCGGCTGCCAAGACCCCTGCTTGCATCTGTCGAGTGATCTGTATCCCTTCGTCACTCATAACACGAACAACGGAGAAAATGATCTCTAAGGTGTTCAGAATATGCATAATGTTCTGGCCAGTTGGCAGGGTATTGCTTGGGTTTTCTGGGTGGCTGCTCGGTGATTACTTACTAACCCACACCAAATTTCTACTCTATCGGGTGGGGAATATGAGCCAAAATATCATTTCACGATAATGATATATTTAACAATATAGTTATTTTTGCTTTAAATAAGGTTTTTATATCGTACACATTTTTTGAGATCATCAGGCTTGCTGCGTTGTTCAGCTGCAACACCGGTTAAATGTGTGCACCGTCATTTAGATATTTTTATAGTAATAAAAATAATTTAGTTCACTACAACTGAACGTGTCTTCTCAATGCAGCACAGATCAGTTGCAGGAGCCAGGTTTCATTTTTATCAAAGCCAATTGTAATAGTGCCCATTTGGCAATATATTGGATTTAAACCCAATGCTAATAGGGAACCTGCAAAAAATTAGTTTTTCTAGTTGTTGTGTTTTTCATTAAGAATGATAATGAATCCACCATTCAAGCAATTGCCGCCCTGAATTGACGCTAATTTGAAACGGTGCGTGTACACTGGCACGGAGCGTTTTCAGTTCATTCCTATTGAAGCTCAACTTTCGTAGGAATTAATTGAAAACGCTTGCTCTGATGCACACCGTTATGAATACCCGTGCGGCATTACCATTTTAACGGTTTAAAATCACTTATTTTTAAACTGCAATGCTTAAAAAACGCATGCAAATGATAAGATCTCATGAGCGTAACCGCGGTAGAGGCAATAGTCAAATTTCTACCGGTTAATTGTAATAACAATAATAATAAATTTCTACTCTACTTTGGCCTCAAATTTAGGCATAATCATATTCAAGAGAGAATATGAGTCTGAAACTCCTCCGTTGGGCTTTGATTATGAGGCGTGTCGTAACCGAACCAGGAAAAAAAAAACTCTGCACTCAATTGGATAGTCGGTAAACCTACAACCAATCAGAGCAACGCATAAGTCAACTCCTTTGCATAGCACAGTTTTCAAATACAGAACTCACTTATTTTAGAAGTTAAATAACGAGTGTTGCTTTCTTTTACTTCTCCATGAGTGCCACCAAAGGTGAAACCACAACGACCACAGGCTTTTCATCACGTCCCATCTTCTTAGCGACCGTCAGAGCCAGCTGATAAGTTACACTTTTTTTCCGAATCATGTTGGAAGGACGCCAAAAATATCTTTCCGATCGACAAATGCCTTGATTGCGATTCTCTGTTTGTCTATTAAAATGAATGCGTTGTCGATTTATTTTACAGCGGAATCTATACATCTCAATTCTCCAGCTGCAGTCATCTTTGATAAGCGCTCTTTGATAACGTGATGATTACGTCCCTGCAGATCATCTGTCCATCATCGTATATAGCCCGCCCTGGCAATTTGATTGGCCCGATCATTTTTTGCCTGATCATAATTACTCCTCAATGGATCGAGTCCAGACCGAACTTCCCGACCAAAAAATGTTGTGGGCGGAGTTCGGGCTGGCATCCAGGCTACCTCAAATTACCAATCGTAAAAAAACGGTGTGCTAATCAAAACGTGACCCTGGTAACAGGACCAGTACAATTTTAACACTAAATAACATTATACATTGTGTTTGTGCGAGCTTAGGCCCGCTCATATTGCCATTTGCCACACTAAGAACAGAAAGTGATGCCGAAGCTGCCTTCTGCATTCACACACACATCTCACAAAACTCCTGTTCCAGGTGCAGCAAAAGGGGAAACACGCTCCCTTGCCTTTTACAGGGCTCTTTCGCCCTGACCCGTGACACTTTATTGGGACACAGACTGCAGCTACAGTAGCAGTGCTTACTGGTTCAGGCTCGAGCGGAGCGAGCTGCCCTATGATTCACAAGCGCCAACGATAACCTGCCAATCACAATCAACTTCTGCATGAAAAGTAGGGGTCGAAACTCAACTCAATGCAAATAATTGAAAGCACATGTTGTCAATTTTTTTTTTCTCCCCCCCACTGCAATTATTTGGGAATGAGCCGCAATATTTTGCTGAGTGCAACACACAGAGCTCCCCACTCCCCGGGAGAGAGTGGAAAACTCCGCCTCAGCAGTACCGGTGAATATCTCTTATAATGATAGGGGCAGGATAAAATAGGCGACTGCTAGCATGCTATTTAATAATCAGAGGGAGGATAGAGTCAGGGGCGTAGCAGCCATTATAACGGCCCCCACCCCCCACATTTTAGGAGATAATCATTACAGTTGAGTTTTGCTTTGCTTTGCTGCAGTGCAAATAATAAACTAGGTGGCAGCTTAAATGACAGCTTTAAGACTAAGCAGACGTCTGATACACCCAGACTGCATTGGCAGTCGATCAAGCGAACAATCAGCAAGCGATAATTCTAATGGCCACTTACTTTGTCAACACTGGGCAAAAGTTATTTCATCTAAATAATTTTAATGTGACATGCTGAGTAGTTTTATAATGTAATAATAATAATAATTCATTACATTTATATAGCGCTTTTCTCATCACTCAAAGCGCTTTACATGGAAGGGGGAATCTCCTCTAGAGCAAGACCGATAAAGGATTTTGAAGGCCGATACCGATGCAAATATTTTTGGGTTTTAAAATCCGATATATCGGCCGATATTTTATTTATTTAAACTGGAGATGATTAGTCACAAATTTTGTCATGCTTATTTGAGTTAAGAGAACTGATGGGGATGTTCTTTTAATTGTTATTCAAGCAATGTCTCGTGACCAACTCAACGAGTGTTGCCAACAGGAACGTTGTAGAGTGCCCTCTGGTGGACAAACTATACAACTCCAACACTCATGACATGGTTCAAACGTGTTTCGTCCGTTCTTATTTTATTTTTGAAATATTCATTTATCGGCCATTATAACTGCCGATACCAATAGTTTGGAAAATGCCTAATATCGGTCTGCCGATATATCGTCTGGCTCTAATCTCCTCATCCACCTGCATGATGCGACGGCAGCCATATTGCACCAGAACACCCACCAAACTTAGCTTATTGGTGGAGAGGAGACGGAGTGATGAAGCCAATTGGTGTGTGTGTGTAATACATATATATTCTGAAGGAACTAGCTGTCAGCAAGCAGCAGTAGAGAAACCAATAAGGACCTTTTTTTCCTGTCACCACCATCTTTTAGACTGTCACAGAGACTGAGTATTGAAGTGGATGTGTACAAAGTAATGGAGGGCAGAAGAGATGGATTATAGGAGATCTCTCTGTGTAATGAATTCAAAATTAATTGGATGAGT